CCCCGTGACTGTTTTGTATTTGCCAATCTGGACTTCTCAGCCCTTCACCTCTTTCACCCATTCCGAAACCCCATCCCCTATGGCAACCACCAGTTGGCCCTCGGTGTCTGAGGACTCGACTGCTCTTAATGTGTTGTCACACTGCCCTCTAATGGGCTGCCTGTCTGTAGCTCAGCAGATTCAACAGCTGGCTTTTGCCCCACCTGACCCCGCTGCCTCTGCAGGGAATTTCCTGCACCTGCTGAGAGTGCCTGAGTTAAAGCCTGCGGCTGTGGGGACAGTGCAAGTTGGTTAAAGCTGTTTATCATCTTTGCAAAATCCCGGCAGTTTCCAAGCCATGATGAAGAGGTTTCCCCATCAGAGTTGTGGATTTTACATTAATGGTAGATCTGTACATTCCATTATAGTTTCAAGACATGGATAAGGGTGGCTCAGATACGACTGATGATCCAAAGGTTGGCATAAAATTAATTTGGGTACTTAGGTCATAAAAAAATGGTCTGAATGATCTTTTTCAAGAATTACTAAGCCCTGTCAACGCGCCCACCTTCCAGGGGCAACCCACCGTTATGTTTCTCTCCCACTCTTTCTCCTTCCCTTCCCCTCTCTCGAAAAATGAATAAAGAAAATATTTTAAAAAAAAAAAAGAATTACTAAAACTTTCCCAGTTATTAATTTTATTTAAAATAAAGTTTCTCTTATTAGAGATTTTAATTCAGAACAAAGCCAGCATACTCCCTAGCAAAGTAACAGCAGCTGTTCTGACGAGGAGTCCTATGCCAGGCTAGCTCAATATGTTTTCTATGGGTTTGATTGTAAATCCTAGCTGCAAATTGTACCAATTGCTTAAATCTTTTTTTTTTTTTCAGACTTTCCAGTAAAATAAAAAGCCCAACCCCAAGTTTAGTAGAGTGGTGTTATGCAACAAGCACCACACAAAATAGTGGACATGACCAGCTAAATAAGACACCACTTCTGCCTTCAATAAGCTCACCGTTGGCTAAGTGGGAAGGGCATGTTACTGTCATGTCCACAGTGCCTTCTTCCCTTAGCAAATACAGCACCTGGCTAAGACCCTTATAGGTAATTGTAGGTGCCAGTAGGTACTTGATTAGTGTATGTGGATAAGTGAGGAAATGAAGGAAGAAATAAGGCAGTGCAGATAGACTTTAAGAGTTGGCCAGAGGCTCTTTTGTTCCCGGCTCTGCCACATACTAGCCATGTAAACGTATCACTTCACTTAAAAACCTGAAGCATCAGTTTCCACGTCCATAAACCTATCCCACAAGGCAGTTGTAAAATGCGTAGTGCAATGCCTCGCATGTAGTAAGCACTCAGTAATGAATAGTGTAATAATATGTGCAAAGAGGGAGTGATTACCTCTGGAGACTAGAATCTCTAGATTATGTGGTATATATGTACATTTAGAAACAGGGAACAATTGTTGGATTTGGAAAGTTTTTTTTTTTATGATGAATAAGGAGTCTACTTTATTTTCCAGAACCGACTTATTCCATGTGGTAGGAAATATGATCTCTGAAGACAGTGACTCACATCATTATAGCTCCATAACGGGAGAGAAAATTCTCCAGTTAGCTCAAGTGAGAAAATTTCTCAGGGAAGGCCTCCGCATGTCCTTGCTTGGTCAGGCCCATCCCCGCACCCATCACCTTCACCCGTAGTGCTAGGCAGAAATAGGACCCCTCTCACATGTCCATGCCCTGAGTCCTGCAACCCATGAACTTCACATGGCAAAAGAGACTTTGTGGACGTAATGAAAGGTACACATCGTGTGGAGGGGAGGCTGCCCTGGGTGACCCAGGGGAGCCAATCTAATCATGGGCTCTTAAAAACACAGAACCTTTCCTGGCTGCAGTCAGAGAGAGACACGGTGACAATGAAGGGTCAAAGAGATGTGACATTGCTAGCTTTGAAGATGTTGGAAGAGGGTCAAGAGCTAGGAATGTGAGCAGTCTCAGATGTAGAAAAAACAAGGAGACTGCATTCAGAAAGGAATGCAGCCCTGAGGGTACCTTGATTTTAGCTCAGTGAGAGCCGCTAACTCTGAGAGAGTTCTGATCTACAAGACTGTAAGATAATAAATTTTTGTTATTTTCAGCCACTAAGTTTGTGGTAATTTGTTAAGGCAGCAATAGGCGATTCATATACCAGAGAAACAGGGTGGAAACCTAGTTTCAGTTCCTTCCCAGATTCGCCCAGCCTCGTCTGCTCAAAGGGAATTATCAGTGAGATCTAGCAGGGTGCCCAACCTCTTGGCGTCTCTGCACCACACTGGAAGAAGAGTTGTCTTGGGCCACACATTAAAAACATGGCGACGTGTAATAACACACACAAAAAATCTCATAATGTTTTAAGTAAACTTGCGATTTTGTGTGGGGCCACATTCACAGCCATCCTGGATGCATGCGGCTCGTGGGCTGCAGGTTGGACACCCTTGCAGGGCCTCCGCCACAGCCTGCTCCCCTAATGCACAGGAATAAACTGATCTGAGGGAACAAAGTCCATGATGGAGAGAGGGGAGGGGAGGGGGGGCAAACGAGGGGAGGGGGGTAGAGAGAATTCTGATGCTCCCTGAGCCTAGGGTTGCAGTTATTTTCCAAGCCTTGTTAGCCCTTTGGTTGTATAAATTAAGTAATTCCTTGTTTTGAGTCCATTAGTTTGAATTTGATTTCTTTGACTCGCAACCAAACTGTTCTGCCTAAACCACAAATGTATAGTGAGAGAGGGATGGCTGAGGGAGTATTTTTTAAAAGCCTTTGGAGACAGTACCCAATAATGGCTTAATGTGATTTCATAGCAACCCACCGAGAAACACATTATCTTCCTTTAGATGAGGAAAGTCCTACTTACTGGCTAAGTAGCTTTCCCACAAGTAAGGGTGTTCTGAACTTAAAATGTGAAAAGCCAAATTGGTTTGCTTTGTCTCCAGCAAACATTGCACATAGAATGTTCTCCCTTGTGTGTGGGTTTTTTTTTTTTAATGTTATCACATTAGAGCCACTCTCTTTCAAGGCCTCACCACTTCCTGCTCCTCTAGCCTCAAACACTTTAATGTGCCCAGTAAACTCAATGCTCTAGTGTCTAAACAAGTACTTTCCAAACCTGCTTCAACCTAACTAGTGATGATAGTGATAGACCTTTTCAGCACTGATCATGTGATCATTCTTCCTTCTCCTAGAAAAAAAGCAGAATTAAAAAGCAGTTCCTATTGTTCCAAAGGCATGTTAATACAAGGCCCTGGATGTTCCATCAAAAGAGATATTTGAATGGAATAATCAAATGCAAATATATGTCTTGTAAAATTCATGACATTTGCCTTTCTAGAATATATGTATGCTTGCTCTTTTAATTTTTCCATTAGCAATTAGGAAAAGACTATGTCTGTTGGTGCCACCAATAAGGGGAAATGCTATAGTTGCATCATTTTTTGTCCTGGGGCAGCTTGCTCCTGGGGAAGTTACTGGCTATTCCAAGGAGCTTCGCCATGTGCCAACCCCCTTTCTCTTGTTTGCCTTCTGTTTTCTGGCGTTTTGTAATTTTTTCCTCACTTTGTCTCTGAAATTTTTGTTTTTTGAAAAGAATCAAAGAGAAGGCAATGTTTATAAAACTTGATAATATGCCAAATCACTACTAGTGGACCTTCAGGTCTTAGCTCACCTTCATTCATTTGTTTAAAAATATGTATTGAGTGCCTACCATATGTCTTGCTAAACAAGTCAAGCATGTTGCCCAGGGCTACTGTGGGTGGCTGTAGTGGTGCATGGTACCTACTGCTTCCAAACTGCTGGTGGTCCTTGTCCTCATGGAGATTAAATCTAGTGACTCCTAGGAAGTCTTGCTTGAACTTTCCTCCCCTCAGACTGCAAAAAGTGCTCTGATTAGGTGCTCCATAATACAACCAATTTTAGACTTTACCTATTTATTTATAATGGTCCTCTGTTGAGCTGTAAACCCAGAGGGGACTGAGATTGAGACTATCTTGTCACTGTCTAGAGACTGGGGATGCATCAGTGAGTTAAACAGCCCAAAACCCCTGGCATCTAGGAGCTGAAAATCTAGCAAAAGGTGAGAGAGTGTAACCAAGTTCAATGCATAGCATGTTAAATAGAGATAAATGCTATGGAGAAGAGGAAGGAAGGGGTCCTTCTCACCTACTTTGGATCTTTGCTCAAATGTCACCTTGTTTTATTTTGAGATAGGAAGCCTTGGAGGTTTGGAGTAGAAGATAGTATCTGGCTAAAAAGAAAAACAACATTTAAGGAATAGAACAGTAGGCACACTTTGCAAAAAGCTAGTAGGACGCTTATCAGATCTTCACTTTGTTGGGAATCAGGCCACAGCAAACAACATTTTATACCGAATATAGACAACAAGGACCCAGACTTCGCCCTCTAATATTCTGACACTCTTAATTTCTGAACACGTTTTTACAAAAATCCTGAAGGACCGTGTTCTAATCTGGGCTGGTTTTGTATTTTTGCAAAATAGCACCCCACACGAGCTACTGTCAGCCTACAGACCTTTTGCACCTGGCTGGGGTTGTCTGAGGCTAGGAGCTATTTAAGCCTTTCCAACCCGTCCTAATTGAGAATGCGTCCTCATAAGGAAATGACATCTTGGATAATCAAAAGACTGCTGTATTTAACACATACATTTGGCATTTCCCCATGCAATGTGGCTGGAGCAGAGGCATAAATATATCTCCTTCTTCCTACCCTCTGAGCTCGCCTTCTAGTCTTTTGATAAGAGCCAGGAAGCACCCTAGCACTTCTCGGACTAGACGCTAGTCAGTGCCGCACAGTTTTCTGGAACTCGTAGGCGTTGGCTTTCCTCCGCTGCAGAACTACAACTCCCGGCAGGCTTTGTTTCTTGCCACCGCCCTCCTGGCGCACGGCCTGCCGGGAGGGGGCAGGTAGCTACCCCTCGGGGTCCAATGGGTGCCGTCTCCCTAGGAGAGGGCGGAGGGGAGGAGGAAGGAGGCGGGATCAGGGCCCTGGCCCCATTCATTGCTGTGGACTGCGGGGCGGGGGGTCCGGTGTTTTCCGAGTCATGGAGGCGCTAATTCCTGTTATCAACAAGCTCCAGGACGTCTTCAACACGGTGGGCGCCGACATCATCCAGTTGCCTCAGATAGTCGTGGTGGGAACGCAGGTGAGAGACTACAGCGACGTCCGCTCAGGCCAAAGCCCCGGGCGCGGGCCTGGCCTGGGCTGCGGCGGCGCACGCTCCCCGGCCATCCTTTCTGGCCTGCGGGACCACCGCGCTGCTAGGGGCTTCGGGGTTTCCTGTACTCTGTTGCGTCGGCTCGCCCTGGGCTGCCTGGCTCCGGGGCTGAGAATCGGGTCCTGGCGGGAGGCGAGGGGCGGAGCCGGCGCGGCGGGCCTGGCGGGACCCAGGGGCGGGGTGGGGATGGGACGAACCGTCGTGCGGAACTGGAGTCCTCCGGGACAGGGCGCGGCTTTCCCCGCGGACAGCTGCTTCCAAGGGCACTTGGGGGACGCGCGCTGCTCGCGGGGCCGCACTGACTCGTGGGGTGCCGACGAGCCCCTTCTCGGTTGGTTTCAAGGCGGTGGAGTGATTTATTTCCCTCCTTGCTATGCTAAGGAGCTGCGGATTCAGTTTTGGAACAGGGCGCGGGCCGGTTTGAGAAGGCCGCTACTGTGTAGCACCTGAGTGTGCTTCTGCAGTGTAACTTATCCCTCCAAGGTTTCGAGAACGACGAAGCAGTTAAACACAAACATAACCCAAAACCCCCAAAACTGGGTGTTAGGAAGGAATATACCATTTTCCTGCATAGGTTGTGGTTGGTGTCTTCCATTGGGCATCAAGTTTCTCTGGTCTCTTACAGATCACATAGTTTGTTTTGTTTTGTTTTTTTTTAATATGCAGAAATGTTGAAGAAATAATGTTATTTCTAAAGTGACAGAGATGTTTCATTTTCTCTGCCTGCTCCTTTTCTTGGCTGAAGAGAAATCATGGAGCATTTATTAGAGTTCAGAGAAGCGCATTTGAGAGATTAATATATTGATTTAAATATTTCCAGTTTTTAAATGATCTTCTCTGTTGAGAAGTATAAGTATTATGACAAGGTACTTAATGTTCAAAATATTACATGTACAGAGTTTATGCAAACACTGGAAAGTTTGGAAGCCACAGATACCCTGTACTGTGTGTCCGTGCTTTTAAATAGTTGAAGCAATAGAAATCACTTCAGAAACAAATTTCCTTGGTTTGCCATAAGATCAGTGTAGATTATGCTCAGTCCTGTCTACACATGTTGTAGTATTTGTAACTCTTAATATCTGTAATGACTGGTGACTCTGAGTCATCAACATATAATAAATTATTATATAACTGGTAGTATTATGGAGCATATTTTCTTCACTGCAGTATTCCTGTTCTGAGCCCCTGGAACCATCTGGGGTATGTAGTAGGTGCTCCGTAAATGTTTTGAATGAATTGTTCACTGTAACTAGGTAATGTTTTAAAACATTGGTGCTTTTAGTATCAAAACCTGTTTTTGTGCATAAAATTAGAAATGATACAAATGAAATCTTTGATAGTTAGTTTGGAAATGTTTTCTAGTGGTAGACCCGAAACTTTCCATGTAGTTTTAAGAGATTCTCAATGCTTTTTTACACTTGAAGCAGAAAAAGTGTGCATTACAGTGTTAGCACGAATACTTTAAAATCAAGAAGCCTTTTTCCTACACAACATAGTTTAATTCATTGAGTAAACCTGTTGGCAAAATTGGGAGGGGTGAGGTAGAAAGGTAAAGATCTCACCATGTGACAGCCATTAACATGTGCTAGCAAGAACCATCCTAGCAGTGACAGCCATATGCCACATTTGCATGTTGATGCTTGAGATTACTCAGAAAGAAAATTACTTTGTTTCTAGACCTGATCTAATGAGGATTATCTGCATTTAGGTCTTTATTAGCTGCATTCAATCCTGTACTATTCAGGTACAGAAGAAATAAATAAGAACAGAAAAATGTCTTTTTTCCATAATTTTCTCAGTGTGTTAGAAAACTACTCGATTTGAATATAAGTACACCATGACTTTGTTACCTGTGTCATTTAATGTTGTGTTACACACATATAACACACACTTCACATTCATATTTAATGGAATAGTGTACTGTGAGTGAGTTCCAGACATAAAAGCATTCTGTGCTTAGTTCTGATTGGTAAACTCAATGGCAGTCTCATGTCTTCATAATACAGGTATGGACTCTATATTAGGTACTACCTATACCTTAAATGGCTGCAGGTCCTATTTTATCAAATTGTTTAGAACACTGTTACTCAAACTTAACTGTTTTCTGGATTCCATCCCCAGAGATTTTGATTTACTAAACCCAGGGTGGGGGAGGGAGGTGGGGAGTGGCGGCAGCCAGGTGCCACAGGTGATTCTGATGTAGTTAGTTCATGGGACCTAATTTGAATATTAGTGAGTCTTTGATTTTAAAATGCACAAAACTGGAACAAACAAGGAAGGAAAGCTGAGTCTAAGGGCACACCACCATCCAGTAGCATGTTCATCTTGGTGGCATTCTTGCTCCAAAGTGTCAGTCCCTAGGAAGCCTTTGCTATTCCCTAAATGGGAAACTTTAATTTCTTAAATTGCCTGATACTTATTTGGGACATAGAGATTTGGAGTTGAGGAGTGAAATTTATGCTTACAGCTGTTGATCATTCACAGGTTTCATGAATTAGATAAATAAATTGCTTTCCTATTTTGTGTAGCTGAGACCATCTGTGTGGAAAGAACAGAAAATGTGGAGAGAAGAGATGGTTGATACTTTTGACTATGGTGTCAAAATACTTTTGCAGGTGGAGGAGGAGATAAGACTTAAATAACTCCTGTGAGTCAATTCAAGAAATTTAATCACTTTCTTAAATTGAGCATCGAAAGGGGGAACCTTCAAGCACGTAATCCAAACCATCACCCAGGATAGGAATCCCAGTGCAGATAATATGTACCTGAGACTCTGGCTCAGTGTTGCTAGAAATGTCCTTTTCACTTTACTGTTTATTTCAGTGATTTCAGTACTCTGCCTTCAGGATATAATTCAGACAAATGCAAAAAGAAACGGAATCTTGGAGGGTTTTTTTTTTTTTTAGGTTTTTTAAAATTTATATTTAGAGAGGTAGGGGAGGAGAAGGAGGGGGAGAGAGATATCAATGTGTGGTTGCTTCTCGTGCACCCTCTACTGGAGACATGGTGCGCAACCCAGGCACAGGCATGTGCCCTGACTGGGGATCAAACCTGTGACCGTTTGGTTTGCACCCCACGTTCAATCTACTGAGCTACACTAGCCAGGTTGAAATCCTGGGTTTTAAATAACCAATTTTTTTATTTAGCATTTAAAAAATTGAAATATAATTCATATAAAATTCACCATTATAAAGTTTGCAATTCAGTGGTTTTAGTATATTCACAAGGTTGTGCAACCACCACCACTAATTCCAGGACATTTTCATTACCCCAAAAAGAAACTGTGTACCTGTTAGTGGTCACTCCCCAGTAAGTCCCACCCTCAGACACTGGTGACCACTAACCTACTTCAATTTCTAAAGATTTGCCTATTCTGGACATTTTATATAAATGGAATCATAGCATATGTGGTTTTTGTGTCTGGCTTCCTTTTTTATATTTAACACTTTTTTTCAATGACAGTTTACATTTAATGTTATTTTGTATTAGTTTCAGGTGCAAAGCAGAAGTGTCTGGCAGCTCCTGCTCATCATGATGTTTTATAGATTCTTCTGTGTTGTTGCATGTATTAGTACTCCATTAGTTTTTAGGGCTAAATATTGGGTTGGCCAAAACATTAGTTTAGTTTTTTTCTGTACAAATGGCTCTAGTAATCCTGAGTTGTCTTTAACATCATTCAAAACATTTTTTTTTTCTGCCCTGGCTGGTGTAGCTCAGTGGATTGAGCACAGGCCTGCAAACCAGACAATTGCGGTTCGATTCCCAGTCAGGGCACATTCCTGGGTTGCAGGCCAGTTCCCTGCAGGCCAATTCCAAGCAGGGGACGCACAAAAAGCAACCATACATTGATGTTTCTCTCCCTCTCTCCCTCTAAAAGATAAATAAATAAAATCTTTAAAAAAAAAACAAAACAAAAAAACCCCATTTTTTTCTTTTTAAAAAATACATTTTATTGATTATGCTATTACAGTTGTCCCATTTCCTCCCTTTATTCCCCTCCACCCTGCACATCCTCTCCCACCCACATTTCCCTGCTTTAGTTCATATCTGTGTGTCATAAGTTCTTTAGCTTCTACATTTCCCATACTATTCTTGCCCTCCCCCAGTCTATTTTTCTACCTATCATCTATGCTACTTATTCTTTCCCCCTCTCTCCTCCTCCCACTCCCCTGTTGCTAACTCTGCGTGTGATCTCCATTTCTATGGTTCTGCTCCTGATCTAGCTGTACTCTTAGTTTGCTTTTGTTTTAGGTGTGGTTGTTAATAACTATGAGTTTGCTGTCTTTTCACTGTTCATGTTTTTTATCTTCTTTTTCTTAGATAAGTCCCTTTAACATTTCATATAATAAGCTTGGTGATGATGAACTCCTTGAACTTGACCTTATCTGAGAAGCACGTTATCTGCCCTTCCATTCTAAATGAAAGCTTTGCTGGATAGAACAATCTTAGATGTAGGTCCTTGCCTTTCATGACTTGGAATATCTCTTTCCAGCCCCTTCTTGCCTGTAAGGTCTCTTTTGAGAAATCCACTGACAGTCTGATGGGAACTCCTTTGTAGGTGACTGTCCCCTTATCTCTTGCTGCTTCTAGGATTCTCTCCTTCATTTTAATCTTGGCTAATGTAATTATGATGTGCCTTGGTGTGTTTCTTCTTGGGTCCAACTTCTTTGGGACTCTCTGAGCTTCCTGGATTTTCTGGAAGTCTATTACCTTTGCCAGATTGGGGAAGTTCTCCTTTATTATTTGTTCAGATAAGTTTTCCACTTGTTGCTGTTCCTCTTCTGGTATCCCTATAATTTGGGTGTTGGAACGTGATGTCCTGGAGGTTCCTAAGCCTCTCCTCATTTTTTTTGAATTCTCATTTCTTCATTCTTTTCTGTTTGGTTGTTTCTTCCTTCCTTCTAGTCCACTCCTTTGATTTGAGTCCC